CTTCACCATGCTCCAGGGAAGCCATGATGATAATGGACCAAGACCCCCATCCACCCACTGTCAGGATTTACTCATTCCGCTGTAGCACGCCCACTCCGAGCCTCTTGATGCTTTCCTTGCTATCTGCCATAGCAGATCTAGCACTTCTGTTCTATTTAGTGAGAGTTATTGCTACTCCCAGCATGCCAGAACCATCATGGCCACACATTAGGTTATGTCCCTGGTGCTCTTTGGCATGGTAGGTTCTGTTTCTTAGGACAGTACTGTTCCAGAGACATCTTTTCTTACTCACTTGTATGCTGTGCTCTGTAGCGCGATTTCTATATTGGTCTTAATACTGAAAGCCTGGAGTCAGATGTTAGGGGGTGGAAGGTGAAAGATAAGAGAAGCAGAGCTGCCAGCCATTAGTTCTTACCTCTAGAAAATCCTCAGAAGCAATGGGGCAAGATCCTGTCTCTACAAATCCTCAGACTGAATGCCTTGGATGCCGTGCGCTCTTGGCTCCTTCTGCCTTACATTCCTCTCTCTGCCGAACCATATCCCTTCCTGTCTTTACCTTCCTAGTACTGGGATTAAAATGTGTGACTCCCAAATGCTGGGATTAAAGGTGTGAGCCATCACTGCCTCTCTCTGTTTCTCTTTTAGACTACTTCAATCTTGTTAGGGTGGCCTTGAACTCACAGAGATCCATCTGCCTCTGCCTCCCCAGTGCTGGGATTAAAGGTATTTGCCACCACCTTTATGGCTGACTAGTGTGGCTAGTTCCTCTGTAGATGGAGACTGCTTTGTTTACTGGCTGCCCAGATCCGAATAATAACACAAAACCAATATTAATCACAGCACTGTTTGACCAAACAATTAGGTGTATTCTTAGCTAGCTCTGACATCTTAAATTAACCCATTTCTATTAATCTGTATATTGGCATGAGGCTGTGGCCTACCAGCAAGGTTCTAACGTCTGTCTCATCGGCAGCTACATTGTATCTTTCTGACTCTGCCTACTCTCTCTGTATATCTCTTTTTGAATTTCCCGCATGGCTTTACTCTGCTAGGCCAAAATAGCTTCTTTATTAACCAATGGTAATAAAACATATTCACATCATACAGAGGGAAATTCCACATCACTCTTCACTCTGATCTTCAGGCAAGCTTTATTTGTTATAGAACAAACAAAATATTGATGTGGGATTCCTCTCTGTATGCTGTGAATTGGTTAATAAAGAAGCTCTCTTGGGCCCGCACAGGGAATAGAGGTAAATGGAGAAAAGTAAACTGAATGCTGGGAGGAAAAAAATGGAGTTAGGGAGAAGCCATGTAGCCCCGCCAGAGACAGACACTAAAACTTTGCTGGTAGGTCATGACCTCATGGTGATACATAGATTAATGGAAATGGGTTCATTTAAGATACGAGTTAGCTATTGGCCAAACAGTATTGCAAGTAATATGATTTCTGTGTGATTATTTCGGGGCTGAGCATTTGGGAACAAACAAGTGGCCTTCTTACAACAAAATATCACTACAATGCTCCCATCAACCTGCTGTTGCTGGGGTCCACTGTCCCTCCAGTTTCTCCTGGCTCTTTGGGGTCCTTCTGTAATATTAAGATATAATCTCTTTGCTTTCTTAGTGCTTCTTTGATAGGACTATATTTTTTTTTCCCACTTAACTATAGTTATTGGTCTGTCTGGTGGGCAAGAAGTGGAAGTAGTTGAGTTTCAGCTTTGCTGACACTTAACTGGGAGGAAGGGGCCACTTTTGCAGGCCCAGGGAACTCAGGAAAAAATATGGGTATTTAAGAGTTTTGAATGTACCTACCATGGTATTCTGCACAGTTATGGTTTGGTTTCCACTACTCTCCAAATAGGACCTTGAACTTTGAGAAACAAATGAGCCTGCGTTGAAAATACAACTTCCTGTGGTGCTTTGCTCCTCCGAAGACTTCAGTCTAATCCCTCCTAAATTGTTCTTACCCTCTGTTTTAGAGACGAGAGTCTCTTTATATGTTGTTGAAGGAGGCCCTAGGCATAAATGTCTCTATTTTAACTGGTGATTAACTGCTTGCAGCTGTGTGTTATCTTTCCCCAAAGCATCGACTGATCCCAGTCACATACATCCAAATGTGAGCTGCATTGCATCAACCCAGGCATTCACTTCCACAGCCACACTGGCTCACATTTCCATGGGTGAAAGTTTCAATAGCATGCCAGGGGCTGTCTCTACTCTGCCTAACATCAGTGCAAGAGTCTTTATTGCCAGCAGCCCAGCTATTTATCCAGTTGATTCAAGATCCCACTTCACACCGCGCTTCTGGGAACCTGATGGGGTTCTGTGGAAGGCAGAATCTAATTTAGATGGAAGAGATTAAGGGAGAGTGTGCACGTTCCACAAGTAGGGGAGAGAAGGAAACAAGATTAGTGTAAAAGCTGAACCACAGTACATGCGCAGTAAAATCTTTATTCATTTCGAAGAACTTCAATCAAATATCCAGTGAATTGACCTTAGGTTTTGCCATGCTGCCCAGACTGATCTTGAACCTGTGGCCCCAGTGATCTTCCTGCTTCAGCCTTCCAAGTAGCTAGGCCTACAGGTGCACACCAGAGTACATGGTGCCTAAAGTCTTACTCTTCCATTAGCCAGGTATTGGCTCTCCGCCTTGGGGTTGGGCTGTTTTGAACACAGGTCATTTTGCAGAGGCAGGCTTAGCCAAGAACCATGGGCTACCTGATGGGAACAACAAAGAAGTAGGTAAGAAATTGTAGAGTGGAACCTGGGCCAGAATCCGGGACATTGAAGTATTCTGTGGAGGTTGGGAAGTGGGCCAGTTTACTCTTCACCCTGTGGAAGGCAGTCCAGAAATTTTAAGGAGGTTGATCATGCCAACAATAAAAACACTAAAGAACATAGAAAAGATGTGCAAGCTTAGTTGTTTTTGCTTCTGGACAAGCTGGGGGTCCTCAGCACTGTGCTTGTTAAAGGGACTTGAAGGTTTATTAAGCAATGCAGCAAATATCTTGAGTTTCCTGTAGGGAAAAAAATGACTTTTAAAAACTGAATTTGGTAATCTGTGAAACGAACTTGATAATCTGTGTTTTCTGACTTTATCACTGGGCTCTGATAGGATGATAGTGGCAGAGACGCCACACACACAGTCTTCTCTGATAGGATTAGGATTAGAAAAAACTTGGTACGTGTTTCAACAGATCAGTCAGGGTTTGGAAGTTCTTTGGAGGAGAGAGGCAGAAGTCTTACTTATTTAGTCTCTGTGGAACATTAACTTTTGCTGCATCATTTTGTGGCTTTTGTGATTTTGTTTTCCTAGCAAACCAAATCATGATAACTGAACAATACCAACAAAACTAATCTATATAACACTTCAGGAATTACGCTTAACTTTGTGCATTTTCTGTTGTTCACGTCTGTGTGTGATGTGCACGTGTCGAGGTTACTCTTCCACCACAGTTTTCAAAGCAGTGCCGCTCAGTTCAACCCAGAGCTCACCAACGTGACGAGTCTTGGTAGCTAGCTTTTCCCCAGGATTCCTTGTCTTTTCAGAAGCTAGAATTAAAGGCCTACTTCCATGTCTACCACGTGTTCACGAGGGTTTCTGAGTACCCTAATTTCGGTGTTCATGATTGTTTAGCAAGTGCTGAGCCACTGTCCCAACTCCAGTTTGGTGTACTTTTCTTATTTTCATTATATTATAAAAGATAAACTAAGGTGCACAAGGCATTTAAGGAACTTTGAGCAGACAAGGATTCACGAATCGGGCAGCCCCCTGCAGAGGCTCTTAGAAGGAGCAGGCTGAGAAGGCTTCCAAAGGGGAGTTGTGAATTCAAACCAAGCAAATATTTGACTAGGTGGGGGAGAGCAAGAGCTGAATTTGGACCGTCACAATGAAAACTCTCTCGTTTAGAGGCTAATGACAGTTGCTGATTGGATGAACTTGAGTTTTACTTCACTATTTACTTTGAGTTGGGTTTCCATTTGCTTACACAAGGACTCGGGCGGGCACTGGAGCTTCCTCCAACTGATGAACTTCTAATTAACGGAGGACCCCGGGAAGCTCAGGAATTAAATGGCTTGCCAACCTCCACAATGCTGCCTCTCACAATGCATGCCATTTTCAAACACTACAAGACCTACTGTTTATTTATGATCTCTTGCAGCCAGGGAAGTTAGCAGTTCATCTATAATTCAGAAAGCAAGGTGGGGTGGGGAGCGTGGGCCCTTCTGAAATGAGTCCAATCACAAAGCACAAAAGAGAAATAAGTTTCATTTTGCCCTGGGCTGTGAAATACCTTGGACCCACCCTGAATATAGGAAAAGAGAAAAAAAAAAAAAAAAAAAAAAAAAAAAAAAGACCAAAGAGACTGCGAAGAATTCCAGAGATTAACCCCCGGGGTAGGGAAGTGACTCTGAAGAAATGGCACCTGAAAACCGCATTTGTTCTGGGAGCCTGAGACCAGGAAAGATGTCGACGTTTTCTTGGAAAGGGTTCAGACGAGGAGTCAGAGAGATGATTGAGGGGGGTTGGAAGGGGCTGACTAGGACAGGTTGAAGGAATTAGGCAGGTTGGCCTTGGCCTAGAGACAGCAAAGATAGGCCTTGATAGCCATCTGCAATTACTTGGTTGTCTAAATAGCAAGGAGGTAAAGTGCTACCTGGAGTGGAACAAAGGACTATAATTACATGAAAATCGAGGCAATGAAGAGAAGACAGGATATGCAACAGTACAATTCACATCTACAAGACTGGTCAAGACAATTCTAAGACAAACACCCCAGCTGAAGGATCACCATAGACAAAAGCTACAAAACGTTATTCATGACCAATCCCCACCCCCCAACCCCTCAACCCCGGATAATCTTGTCTTATTATTATAAATTTTATTGCACTGGAATTCAGATTAAGTACAAAGTGCTTCAAAGTCACAATAAGCAGTTTCAACTGTTATTTACCTGGGATCAGGGATTCCCTTTGGCCATTTATTCCTGAACTGAGAGTGGCCCACGGTGGTGGGAATGACATGAGGTTTTCTCTCCAGGATCCGAGAACAGTGAGTGACCCAGGAGCTGGTTGAAAGGACTGGTGCTGAGATGGTGGCTGTTCAGGCAAGAGCATCCTTGATTTGATTAACCTTGAGGTTTATTTTTTATTAATTATTTATTGAAGATTTCTGCCTCCTCCCCGCCACCGCCTCCCATCCCCCCCCATCAAGTCCCCCTCCCTCATCAGCCCAAAGAGCAATCAGGGTTCCCTGCCCTGTGGGAAGTCCAAGGACCACCCACCTCCATCCAGGTCTAGTAAGGTGAGCATCCAAACTGCCTAGGCTCCCACAAAGCCAGTACGGTGCAGTAGGATCAAAAACCCATTGCCATAAATAAAGGACATTGAGCCTATAATTCGTGATCCTAGAGAAGCTAAATAAGAAGGAGAACCCAAAGAAAAACATATAGGCATCCTCCTGGATATTAACCTTCATCAGGCGATGAAAGGAGACAGAGACAGAGACCCACATTGGAGCACTGGACTGAAATCTCAAGGTCCAAATCATAAACTCCATTTAATTTAGGATTTAACAGGGAAAGTTCACACTATAAATTATTTCAAATATTTTAAAAACTTTCAATGAAGGACTTTACTATTGATTCTGCTGTTCTGATCTTTCTATCATGGGGAACACATTGCAAACCTAGCACCCAAATTTGTTCAACCCTGGAATGTGCCTAGTGATGCCTGTCTCTTCCATCTGCATGTAGTGAAGATCACGTGTTCTGTTTGAGGTCCTGAAGAAGTTCCCATTCATTTCTAGCAAACAAATGAGAGTTGTTTTTTTTTTTTTTTTTGGTCGCTATTGTTTTGTTTTGTATTTTTTTATTCATATGTACTTCTTAAAATGTACATAAGTGTGCTTTAAGTTCAGAACTATTTTTTTTTCTTTCCTTCTTCCTGTTTTCTAGGCTGGTCTGGAACTCACTCTGCAGCCTAGGCTGATCTTAAATTTGAAATCCTCCTACCTTAGTCCTCCAGATGCTGGTGTTACAAGCACGCTCCACCATTCCCAGTCTGAATATTCATGTTTTTCAATTTTCAAAACATAATCTGGTCAACAGGAGCTAAAATGCAGAAAGCCACTGACATAAACATCAAGAAGTGTCTATGAGAAAGCTTGTTTTCCCAAGATGTTCATGCTGCTCTTGTGCCCTGGCTTCTAATACTTCCTCCTTCCCATCCTTCACATCTGCCGCCTTTCTCCCTGACTTTTACCAACTCTCTTCCTGGTACAAAGATTGGTGAAAGGACAGGGGCATTGTAAAATCGTACAGCTTGAAAGAAACAAATCTCATAAAGCACTCAAGTATCCCAGATCTCTCCAAAGGGTTAGATAGTAGGGAAGGAGAACACCCTGAGGTCAATGCATGGGGGAACAGGTGCAAGGATCACATATACCTGTGCGTTAGTTGGGGAGATAATTAGCCAGGGAAAACCCAAACCATGTGGAGGTCATCTCCTGAGTTTGGGATCTCACTGGGTGTTTAGGAACAGAGATTCACCATGGTTAAGATTTAGGCAGGAGGAAACAGTTTGCTTAACTGTCAAAGAAAAAGAATCCAATGAACTACTGAACCTTCAAGAGAAGATATGTTGACTTAATTTTTGCTTAGTTAATTTACAGGTTTTTTTTTTTTTTTTGTGTGTGTGTGAATGTGTGTGTGTGTGTGTGTTTCAAAGATGCCATGAATGTCAGTATAGCACTATTTCCTGGATCCTGGACACGAGGCTGGGCGTGGGAATGTGAACAGTCCTGAGCCCTCACAGTTGATGGTGTGGCATTCCTCCTCTGCCCATGTATTCCACATGTTCATTAATCATTTGTTTACTTTCATTTTTATGTGCATGTGTGAGTTCCTGCACACATGCACGCGCACCACATCCATCTCTGCAGCTCTCCATTAATCTTCCAGTGAAGAAGATAATTTTAACAAAGGGAGGTAGCTGACACATTTCTTTATCTGCCATTTTGTAAATTTGCCTTATAAAATAATATATCCGATTCTGGACAAATGCACAAAAGTAAGCTTCAGACAGCATCCCGGAATAGCTAATAACGTGGAGCCACAAAGATGCCCAGAGAACAGTGCATGAAAAACTTAATTTCATATCCCTTCTTTAGCGTACAGTTATTATTGTTTCATCATGATTCTCTTGGTTCAAAACTTAATGAAGTATTTACACAGTGTTTTTAATAGGATAAAAATAACATGTGTGTTTGCAGTGGGACCATGTAGGAAAGTGATCCTGGAGGAGGGTTTCCGAAGTGCAGGTCCATGTTGGTGTAACATTTAGAGGGACTGCTTTATCAGTTACCTGATGGGGGACCCTAGGCAAGTTATGTACTTGCTCTGAGGCCAGTTTCTTTATCTGTGAACCAATCTTGCTTTCCTCACAGACTTGTTATTGGAGTTCACTAAGAAGGGCTTTAAAGGCAACAGGTGGGGTGGGGAGGACAGAGGGGCCATGTTTTCCTTCTTCATCAGCAGGCTTTTAAGACTCTTGGCATGTCTGTTTCATGTTTGTCAGTGCCGTTGAATCATTTAAGCGGAAATGAAAACTGCAAAGTCCCCATTCCCTTGAAGAAATGAAGATAATAGGGTCTGATTTCTGCTTTTGGAATGTAACCGAGGCCATGTTTCCTTTCCAGCTAGAAAGTGAGTTCTTGATTCCAAATGTAGCCATTTGACTTATACTTTAAGAGAAGTTATTTTTAACTATCCTTTTCTTTGCCTGTTAATCCTAGACTCTACCGGAGCACAGTGAGATCCATTAAAATGAGTTTGGAAGCCAGCTGGAACGCTGTAGTGAGGAGGAGCTGCTACCCTGCGTCCTAAAGGCATTGTTTTTGATTAGCCATCTTTTCATGATTCTCACATAGCAGATAGTAACAGCCACCTTCCCAACAACTGTCTTTGGGATGTAATGCAGTGCAGGTAGTTGTTTTCAGAGTTTGACATTTGAACATGCTTTTCCATTTCGTTTTAATGCTTAGAATGTTCCAGTCATGTTTTTCCTGCCTCCTTTGCTTATTTATTCTCGATAAGCCTCGTGGTATAATGGCACATGTGATGGTGTGCTATTTCCCTTTCTGAGGACAGGTTAAGTCTCTTCTTTTGAACATCATAGGCTCATCTACTGACAAGACCAATGGGGAGGTATTGAATACATACTAGTGAAATACATATAAAATGATTAGGAGTGAGCTCTCATTAAAATAAATTATATCAGCAACAAAAAGCATAAAAAGAAAAGATTCCAAGCATAGAATAATCTTTGGGTACTTTCTTTCTTTGATACATTTATATTTTAGCAGGAAGGCATACCATATTTTGCGCTTATTCTTTTTCTGTTACTTCCAGTCACCAGCACGGATATAAACAGCTCGATGCTGTGGTTTTTGTTTTTGGGGGCTTTTTTCTTTTTGCTTCCCCCCCCCAATGAATGTGGGTCTAAGATGCATTTAAACAAAGGACTGATAAAGAAAGACTGATCCATAACTATGTTATTTGAAGTAGCCAAAAGGTGGATGAATGAAATAAAGGTTAATGGATAAATGAGCAGATGGATGAAAGATAATATGATAAATACATACAACAGAATCCTACTCCTCATTGGATGAACAGGTAAGTATAAAATGCATACACATACAACAAAATATTATTCAGTCGTAGAGGAAAACAATTTAACTTATGCTGCACCATGGGTAATCCTTGAGAATTATCAACATGCTGAGGGAGAACTTCAGTCGTAAGATCAAAGATAGTTAGGAGATACCACAGTGGTTAAGAGTGCTTTCTCTGCAGCATGAGGACCTGTGTTCAAAACCCACATTTATATAAAAATTCATTATAACTACAGGCCAATAATACTAGCATTAGGGGTAAGGAGTTATGAAGATAGGTATATCCCAAGAGCTTGCTGCCTAGCTAGCAAGCTTCTGATTGAGAGAAATGACCTGTTTCAACAAACTGAGGTGGAGTGATAGAGACTGACATTTGACGTCATTTTCTGACCTCCACATATGTGCACACAGACACTTGCAATACAAATCTTAGGGGTTTTATTGTTGCGAAGAGACATCATGACCGCAGCAACTCTTATACAGTAAAACATTTAACTGGGGGTGGTTCGCTTACAGTTTCAGAGGTTCAGTCCATTATTATCATGGCAGGGAGCTTGGTGGCCTGCAGGCAGATGTGGTACAGGAAAAATAGCTGAGAGTCCTACATTCTGCAGGCAACAGGAAGTCAACTGCGATGTTGAGCAGTATCTTGAGCATAGGAAACCTCAATGCCTGCCCTCACAGACACACTTTCTCCAGCAAAGCCATACCCAACCCAGCATTGACACACCTCTTCATAGTGCCACTTCCTATGAGATTTTGGGGGCCAATTACGTTCAAACTACCACAACATACATGTATCCACCATACATATATACAACACCCCCCCACTCTGATTTTGTATGTGAGGTACCTAGAGTGGTCAGCTCCACCCAGAAAGCAGAATGTTGATTGCCAGGGATCGTGAGGAGAATAGAGTTTTAGTTTCACAAGGAGAAAGAATTCTGGATCTTGTTTGCACAAAAATTAGCATACTTTCTACTCCTGAGCCATATATTTAAAAATGGTTAAGACGATGACTTTTATGTTACATTTATTTTATCACAATTTAGAAATTGACTATAGTAATTAAAAGGAAAAAGAAGAAAAAAAATACCCAGAAATACTAAATGAAAGAATGTTGCTGGTCTGAAGAATCTTTCTCCCTTTATGCCCTGACATAACTCAGTGTCCAACTTTTAAACCACAATAACCTCAGCATTAGGACATTGAGGATGTAATTTGTACAATTAGAAATGTTGTCTTTCCACGAGGCCCGTTGCCCTCCATCAGGATCGTATAAACAGTGCCGTGGAAAGGGTAAAAAGGCCGAGGAACTTACCAGTTTGTTGAAACATATAATGTGCCTATCAGTTTTCTCTGATCTTGGCCATGGCAGACTACAGACCTCATTAACTTTAGCATTTCTTGCAAGTGTGCTTCCTTCCTCGGCTTTCATTCCTGTCAGTCAGTCTCACACAGCACTTCCGGCTTCATCCCTGCTTGACAAGGTTAAGCCGGTTGATGATCTGCAGTCCTGTTCGGCTTTATTTTCCATAGATTTCTCCCGATAACCATGGCATGAACTCTAAACTATGTGTTAGGACTGAAAAGAAGCCAGAAGGTTTTTATTAGGGTTTGTATTCCCATCTCACTAATTTTCTGAGTGGCAACAATGGATCTGTGTCCTCTGTTTAAAAAAAAAAAATACATGATTAGGAAAAAGTGGTTTTGTTTTTCTATATTAAACAAGTTCAAGCATAATCTCCCTTGATGATCACTACCTCTATTCTGTCTCCCAAGACAATTCAGCAGTTTTCTTTATTCACTTTTTAGGATCCAATTAAGCAATTCATTCTGTCGCCCTGTGCTTTGTTATATTGAACTAAGATGAAAATTGGTATAATTAATCTACTCTTTAAACCTCGGTAAATATTTTAGGAGTATTCATATTCAGTAATATGTGTTCAAATGAGGCTATATGATGCTTTCTTGTTCTCTGAACTATTCAGCGATAAATATACTAGTATGGAGGATTTTGGTTAGGCTCAGATTATAACACGGCAGTGTGTATACTTCCATGATATATGGACTCTCTGCCCGTCTGCACGGATGCTGAGTGTGATAACTGCTGGGCCAGAGTCCTCTCCTTTCAGGGCACGGTCAGCTGCTTCATTTGTTCACCTAAGGCAAAGCTTTAATTTCAGTATTTAGGGATAGATTTTCAACTAAAAGAGAATAATGGCCTTTCTTTTGTTCATGTTGACAGCTACAGCATCTTAAAAGATTTTTCATAAAGCAAAGTCTAGAGTGCCTTATCCGAACCTTATCTGGAGCTATGCGATTGTGAATGTTTAGGACAGTTTTTCAGACCAGTCATTGAGATGACTCAGTGGATGGAGGCACTTGTTGCCAAGCCCAGTGACCTAAGTTCAATTCCTGGGACTCCCATGGTGAAAGGAGAAATCGGACTTTCACAAGCTGTTCTCTGACGTCTGCATATATGCTGTGGTAAATGTGTATGCCTTCGTGCATATGTACACACGCAGAATAAATGACAAACGACATCTCACCCATTTCCTGTAGTTGGTTCTGGCTATGAAACAGGATGGAAATTGGTACACAAAGAGATGTGTACCAATGACGTGCACTGAGGAGGCATTATAGACATATTCCATCTCTTATGTGGATGATACGGATGCTGGGGATCTCAGGTAAGGGTCTCATGTTTGCACAAGCAGTTTACGCACTGAGCAATCCCACCCCCAGGTCCTAAGTTACTTAAGTTGGTGTAGTTTCAGTGCCCAGTGCCCCTCTCACCTTAAATCAAGTGGGGGCTCAGTGATGGTGACTTTCTTTAGATGGCCACTTGTATCATCTCAGAGTGACAGGAAGGAGAGGAGAGGGCAGGGATGTGGAACAGTTCGTCTGTTGCAGACAGAAACTCAGTCTCAGGTATGTGCATGCTACATCAAATGGTGCTCAGCCATAGGAGAAATCAGTAGGAAAATCCAAGTCTTCTGACTTCTGTTCAGTAGGGTTTCGTTTTGTTGTTTTCATTAAATGGTGCTGCTTTTGCCTAAAAAGTAAAACAAAAGAAGACAAATTTGCAAGAAAGCGTTTTTTACTCCTTTTAGTTTCAAAATTATGGTCAAAATGGCCAAACAACTTGTGGTTTCTTTGCTCTTTTGTTTGCTCAGTTCTTATTGCTGGTCAAATTTTTAAATTTGTCTATGCTAAACATAAATGCTACATAGAAAGTAATCACTGCAAATGCAGTGAGAACATTCCTGAAAGAAATGGACGCCATTTAAATGACGCACATGTAGTTTCCACTATGTGTCAGACCTCAAGGGTGTTTAAATGTTTAGCTATTTATGTCCCTCATCTGTGTTGAGGTTGATAAAGCCAAAGTGAAGAGTATGCACATGACCTCATGTTTGTGGAGTGAGAAGTGGTGGTCGTGACTTTTATTCAATGTGTCTGGCATTGGATCCTTAAACCACTTATCTTCTTAATCACTTCTTTATGTGAGTGTTAATGCACTTCTAATTTATTGTCAGCTGTCTTGGTATTTTGTACTGGTCTATTTAAGCCAGCTTGAACAAAAGTGGGCAGAGTCAGCATAAAATGGAAAGAGGACTTTGGATTTCCAGCTTAGCGCCCAAAGGGCCGAACTTGGAAACCTACTCTGTGCAGCTTCCGGTTATTGATTGCTGACAACAAGGGGTGATGACAGCGAGAAGATTCAAGCACACGGGCAGAGAATACTGCCCACAGAAGACTGGATTGGGCTTTAAGCAAAACTCGCCTTGATTTGTGCAGTGACTGGTGTGGAAGGAGGGTTTGCGGGAGGGGTGAGATACAAGCCTGAATCATTTCTGTCAGATGGTATGGTTATTTGTGTGTATGATCCAAAATAGTTGACCAGTAGATCATCAACTTTCAAAGATAAAGTTTAATTCTTTAAGTTCTTCACGTAGATGTTCAACCAAGCTTTCAAATCAAGGTCATTAAACTTGTATTGGATAGCCAGCTTGAATGTAACGCATATACAAGCAGGAGTGTGGAAGGATGCTTAAAAGAAACCCCATACTAGCTCAGAATTGAGAAATGGATGATTGTTTATTTAGGAGTAAAGCAGAGGATAAATCAGAATCCTCTGCTTGAATGGAGAACAAAAGCTAAATCCAGCAACCAAAAAAGAGAGCAGACACTTGCATTGGCTTTTAAAGTATAAGAGGCCACGCCCCAGTGGGCCGGCAACCAGTAGCTGTAAGACTTCCTACAGCACATATCCATGACATCCAAAAAAAAATGAAAGCCATAGAGTTGTCACCCTAAACAAGTTGTCTTTCAAATATTAAGGCTCCGAAAACGATTCTTAAAGTGCAGGAAAGCGTACGGTGCAGTGCATGAAGAATCTTCTGTGCTAGTGTGTGGTAGCTGGAGAAACGTCAGTGAGAGGACCAGTGCACGTAAGAGCGTATAAGACCTCTAAGGTGCACAACGAATGTACAAATGCCACACATTATGACAAATTAAGAACAATGCAATGAAAGTCTGAGCAAGGAAGTTTGGATAAAAAGAAGAAAATAGTAACAAGTTCATCATTTCAGAAGCGATAGCGAGACATAAAAGGAAACTAGGTGACAGAATCCAAACAATGAAAGAGAACACCGGGCATGCAGAGACACGTACGAAGGGGACGGCGGCAGTCATGGCAGCACTGCTCCTAAATGCTAAAGAAAAACTATAAGTGGAAAAGTAAAGGCCATGTCATCTCAGAGGGAAAGAATATTTAGCAAAATTTATATAATTTAAACGCATTATGATAGTTTGGGCAGAGTACATCACCGACATCCTGGGAGTGGTACATGAGTTGGTTTAATTCACCTTACTGGAAGAGGAAAATTTAGAATCTAGAAATAGCAGTTGCCTCAGACCATGTTGTATATAGAGCACATATATATCAAGTAAAACTATGAAAAGAAGGAAAGATTGTCGGCAGAGACTGCTTGTTCATTTCCCGGCTGCCCAGATCCGAATTAATCACAAAGAAACTGTTAATTACAAAACCGTTTGGCCAATAGTTTCAGCATATTTCTAGCTAGCTCTTACATCTAAAATTAACCCGTTCCTATTATTTTGTATTTTACCATGAGGCTTGTGGTTTACCAGCACGGTTAGGGCTGGTGGCTCCCATTTTTTCTATTCAGGCAGTTATATGGCATCTCTTTGACTCCTCCTCCTCCTCTCTCCTCCTCTCTCTGCTTGGAATTCCTGCCTTAACCTATTCTGTGCTGCAATAGGCCTAATGCAGATTCTTTATTAACCAATGGGATTCACAGCATACAGAGGGAAATCCCACATCAAAAGATGAATAAATATTTGTCCATAGAAGGAAGGAAGAGCTTACTATAGAGAGGAATCCATAAGATCTCAAATACTCTAAATAAATGAGAAGACGAATGTTTCATATATTTGTTATAAATGATATATAAAATAGCTAAATAAGAACATTGCCAGAAAGCTATCTTATAAGTTACCAAGAGCCTTTGCCCATATACAGTATTCTTTATATCTCAGAGGTCAATACACAGAATATTGAGTCTCTCTTTTTCTAGTTTGATAGCTAAAATGAATCAGGACTTCTTTCTTCTTTTAAAACATTTCACTGTTTTAAAATGGGGTCATGAGTTTCAAGGCTGCCTCACTGATCAAGGAAAGAACAGTGAAGATAATAACTTGGCTTTGGTTCCAACCCACACTTAAGTTACTCAAGAAAATCAGTCTCCACTCGGCCATCTGCCATGCAATGTGCAGCCAGGCCAGGGAAAGCAGCTCATGTGAATTCAGCATCTTATCTCTCTGACATTCTGGACATAGCGCTATCCATTGAGCCAGCATTTTTCCCACAGTCTGTCTCAAATTTCACAGCCCTTGTTAAGTATGCAGATATTATCAGCCCTATTCCCAGTGAGCAAATGTTACTGTCATTTAAACAGATTCCAAAGAGGTCATCTGATGAACTAAATGAATCGCTGAAGGTACTGTGAGCTCAGAGAGAGGAAAGGTCTTGTCTCACCATTTTGTAAACCATTCAAACGTGTCCTTGTGGGAGAGGGAGGAAAGAGATGGGAGGCAAGGAAGGTTGAGGGAGGGAAGGTTGAGAAAAAGAAGGCTAAGAATGTCTTAGTTTAACACCTCAGTTTTATTGTGAGCAGATAAGAATCTTTCTATATCTCTACCATTTTTTTTCAACATCTGCTAATGTTTCCAATTGTCAATTCATAGTATGGGGACAAGTTAAGTTAAATATTAAGAAGGATTATTTTTCCCTCTTCTGCTTCAAATAAGTTGAGTGTGAGAATAGATGACCCCATGATGTACACTCCTGTATCAAAACTTAATGCCAACAACCAGGAGGTAGAGGTACGAGGATCAGGAGTTCAGGGTCATTCCTGTTACATAGTAAAGTTGAAGCCTGTGTTATGTAACATCCTACCTCAAAAAACAGACAGACAGACTTAGTGAAGGAGTAAAGAGATGGAAAGAAAGCCTGTGGATGGAAAGGCTGTCTATCAAGTAGTTTTTGTGAGCACCAAGTCAAAGCTGAATGAATGTGTAATATGGCCAATTTTTTGAGGTATGAAGTCCTAGTCTCACAGAGCTCTCACTGTATTTCTCTGCCTGGTTCATATTTATATGCATCATGTGCTTGTGAAAGTAAAAGGTATAACTGAAAAGTATTTCAGAGTGTTTAGATACAAATGAGTAATTGGGCTATCAACTCTGGTCATATCCACAGTCCACATTGTAAAACACACTATTCTATAACTTTTTAAACAAATAGAATAATTTCATGGTTTTCTTCCTGTAGGAAGCAATTGGCATAAATGAAGTTTCCAATAGTTGAAATAGTTGACAAGCTTTCATGGGAAATTTGGTGCTGTCTCCAAAATGTCTATGGTGTTGTTTGTGGCAAAGCTTTACCTGGGGGGAATGCAACACACGTGTCTATGCTGTGGAACAATGGTCTTCTACCCTTGTTGTAAATATTTGCCACTTGTATTGCTTTAATAAAATGCTAATTGGCCAGTAGCCAGGCAGGAAGTATAGGTGGGACAACCAGAACAGGAGAATTCTGGGAGGAGGAAAAGTCAGTCTGCAGTCATTATCCAGACACAGAGGAAGCAAGATGAGAATACCTTGCTGATAAAAGGTACCAAGGCATGTGGCTGACATAGACAAGAATAATGTGCTAATATATGATGTAAGAGTTAGTTAATAATAAAGTATGAGCTAACAGGCCAACCAGTTTGTGATTAATGTAGACCTCTGTGTGTTTCTTTGGGACTGAATGGCTGCAGGACCAGGTGGGACAGAAATCTCAGGCAACATGTCTACTCATCCTAGATAGGGAGCCTAAGATAGATCCAAGTCCAGTTTGGTGAACCATGAGTTTTATTGGGGTCACTTGAAGGAATATGGGTGTGGGGTTACTTACAGGAGAAGAAACAGCTCAAAGACAGCTGTATGACCAAAGCCTACAAATCTGGGAACCCAGAGAACACTGTGCAGCCTGCAGAAAGCTCAACAGGTTGGAGAACATCATTTCAAAGTGCCCCAGTTGGTCTAAATCTGTTTACGGCAGTTCTGCTGGTTTCTGTATCTTTCATGCAGATGGTCTGGTCTCAGAGTCTTCTTTGCAGCTTTATTGTTTACTCTGGCAGAGAGTGACCTAATAAATCTGGTTAGTTTCAGGAACTTCCTAAAGCTATTCTGAATTGTTTGCTGCTCTCCTTAAAGAGCTTCCCTGCAAAATAGAATGCTTCAGTCTCTTAGGAAAGTGTCACACAGCAGGTTTGAAAGTAGTTTTTACCTTTCCAGACATTTGTGGGTAGGGGACTTGCCTGGCCATAGTCGCAGGTGATTTGGAAGTATAAGAGGGTTTGGGCACATGATGTATGCATGCATGCAGGCTGTAGTAAAGAAACTTCAGACATAATTGCTCCATGGTATGGTTAAGGGAGGGATCTTTATTGCAGATAGGAGAGAGCACAGACAGTGGC